GATAAAACCTAAACGATACCCATCCCTAGTCGTGAGTGGGAGGACCCGTGACAGCAGAACCGAGGAAGACGGGTAGACAGTAGGTGAGGGAGGCACAGTCAGGTTATAGAAATAACCATCGACGAGATGAAAATGAGCCGAGACATCAGAGACGTGTCCATCGTCCTACCTTCCTACTGCCGTCCTTCTCCAATCTCCCCAAAAGCATGTCGAACTAAAAGAGGAGTAAAAATCACCACATGACAATAAATACATGAATCCAACATCGTCAAAGTTTACATGTAATCTTGTTTTCCAGGAGAGAGATCTGAGCAACATTGTTCTGAATCTAAAATTCTCTCCATGCTCCTCACATTTGTTCTTTTTTATTACAAACATTTGTCAAACGTTGCTTTAACATAAACCTATTTTCATATTCTTTAAGTATTTTTTAAACAGATGAGCTCTGTTCCTATTTAACGAGGACAACACTGGGAATCATGCAGGTCTAATCTGCCCCGTGAGAAGCACCGTGAAGCAGCTCTGATCTTCTAAGATGTTAAACATCAGCTCATCTGTCACCAGTGCAAAGCTTACAGTCATTCTGTGCTAACTGCTAACTGTGCTAACAGAGTAAACGAGCCGCCCACCTCTCGACTCTCAATAACGAGTTCGCTGACACAGCGCATGAACATGTTCTCGCCCTGGTTGTCTTTCTCATTGCTGCAAAAAAGAAGAAATATGAATTTAAACTTGGAGCTACACATTATATCGTGTGTGACGTGCAGGGCGAGAAATGTGTTTACCGCAGGAAGTAGAAATACTGCAGCGCTTCTCGTGGATCCGTGGACTCAAACTTGCGAGTGTAGAGCATCAGCAGGCGGATAAAATTGAGCCGACGCACCATGGGAGGGTCCCCGGGCTCCTGGCTCACTGCGGGGAGGATGTGATCAGTGAGATCGACAGGAAATAGAATATGCGTGTGCATTACCCTACAAAATAAAGGTGATACTCACGTAGCTGAGCGCTTTGACCGGTGGACTTCAGCAGCAGCCGTAGCTCATACAGGACCAACGCCACGTGCACGGCGTGACTCCTGAGTCGCTCGACTCGAAACAAGAAAGCCACCGCCGCCTCAAACTGAGCCGTCAGGAACAACACCTGGAAATACAGGAAGGGCTGCTGGCTCGCAGAAAAATGCGACTCTCCTGCAGAGAAAAGATGGAAAGTGGGAAAATCAAGCGTCTGTGACCAAAACCTGCAAACAAGTTCAGGAGGAAACGGTTTATCCTCCACATGAACAAAGTAAACAAGCGTTTCCAACCACTCTGCTCAGACGGACGGACGTCACCTGTGTGGGTGTTTCACCGTCTCACAGAGAAACTCTGCTGGGAGACTTTTGTTTAACGCCGTTGCTTCACAGAGCCGTGCACGTGGCCACGTCCAGTTTTTAAACATGGGAGGAGAAATTTAAAGACGTTTTTTGAGTGCAGGTACTTAGTCATCAAGTTTACTTTTTAATTATAAATCCTAATCCTCTTGTTGGCTGAAAGTTTGAGGAGGAGAGCAGGGTGGACCATGTCAGCCATTTTACAGCCTTATCGCAGACTCGCAGCGTTTTAGTTCAAAACGGGAGAGAGAGGGGAGGAGAGGGGGGAGATGAAGGGAATAAAAAGGACAAAGGGGGAGAGATAGGAGTGTGGGTGTGAGAGGGGGAGAGGGGGAGGGCGCTGCAAACAAGAAGAGAGAGAAGAAATGCACAGCAAAGAATGTGAAAGAGGACAAATCAGTGGGAGGAAGGAGGGACGACGGCGGGGATAATAGAGGACGGGGATGCAGGGAAGCAGACGAGCCCGGCAGTGTGTGAGAGAAATGAAGATGGGTTTTGGGCTTCGTGTCCTGCTGTGAAGCAAGATGGAGGACGACGAGGAACGCTGTGCCAGACGACCGAGGGAGGCAAGCGGCAGAGAGAGAGAAAACAGAACGAGGCTCCGGGCTGTGCTTCCCACCGAGCAGCGAGGGCGGGAGAGGGAAAATGGGAGATGGACAGAGAGAGAGCTCCGAGTCTTATCTGAACGGTGCAGGATCGGCCTGGAGAAGGCAACACCCACGGGAGGAAGCTGTGCTTTTGTCCGTCTGTGGGAGGGAAGGCCTCCTCGTGCCCTTGCACTTGTGTCCCGGACATGCGGGTGTTTTACTTTAAATCGATTCTGGGTGAAGAATCGAAGCGTGTCTGCTGACCCACAGCTCCGTGCTCAACACCACGAATGCCCCAAAATGTGCCCCGAGTCTCTTGCTGTAATATTAATCATGCTGAGACATAAACTCGGCCCAGTTTGTTTCGGGCGCTCTTAACGGCGTTTGACCCATTTTCATCTCCCTGCTTTAAGCGGAGGAGCTTTGCTGACGGTGTTTGATGAAGCCTGTGGAGATGGGGCGGTGGGTGTTGGTTAATTTGATGCAGGTAGCAGGAAAGTCTCATCATCATCAGCACAAAGATGAACGACTGCTGCTATTTCCACATTTCCAGGTTACAGAAAAGAAATCGATTCACAAACACTCGTGAACTTTTGTTCCTGCCGACTATGACAAAGCTCTGAGTCACACTTGGCTCGTCGTCCATGGCAACAGCTGCTGAGGCTTATGGGGAGGGTAGTAAGAATATTCATGTCCAGGAAAGTAGCTGAAATATTCATCGAGCGATTAGTTACACAGGAAAACGAATCACTTTAACAATCACTGATGTTACTGAAGAAAACTTCACATATTTAGCGTTTAATATCTATACGATGTTTTAAAAATGTGAATCTGACATCATATAAGAACACAACGAGATGCTGACAACAATAATCAGCTGATGAAGCTCCACGTAAAACAGTTTTTCTGCCGTGCTGTGATTCGTCACCAGCACGCACACGTTACAGGTTGTGCACCTCGACTCTGTGCAGGTGCTCACACCATCGCTAATATGTCTGTTTTTAAGACCAGCACTGAAGGAAACTCGTTTTGATTAAAAAGGTTTTAACGGACTCAAATGTAACATTTTGTTTCTCAGACGACTCGCTCCTTACGAGGGACAGACCGTCCGTATGCATGCCGTCGCCCTGCGTTCCACGTGTCCGCACAAACATGGATGCAGTCTCACAACAGCACGAGAGGCAAAGAGCAAACAGTAACCCAAATAAAATCTGCATCCTGGGAGGTGCAAACAGCTCGGCCCTGCAAGCCTGAGCTTGTTCCTCTGTGCTACGGGGGAAGAGATAATGGAAAAACAGGAAGGTGGAGAGGCAATGTGATGCGCCGCAATTCTCAGGAAACTAAAGTTCATATATTTGTAGTTATTTCGAGAGCTGAAGGAGAATTTCAGTGCCCTACCGTAGTCTTCCAGCAGCTGTTTCTGTAGCTGTGGCAGGGTGAGTCTGTCCTGAGGAGAGCTGCTGCCGTCATCATCGAAGCACACCTGGTTCAGCTGTGGGGACACAACGCGACGCACATTACGCGAGGGAGCAGCGCAGCCCCGAGACATCAAACTGGGACGATGATCTCTAACCGACCAGGTTAAATCGTGCCTTTAACCCAAAAACAGCAAACCAAGGGAACGGTACCTTAAGCCAGAGGTAGTCCTCAGTCTTGTCTGCTATCTCTCCGTGGTTGTCGTTGATGTCACATTTCCC